GTTCAAATATCGTTTTCTTCGAAAACGTATTTTTCCCTTCTCTTCCGCATTTGTATATCTTTTTATGGGATATCGATAGCGCGTCCGTCGCGCTCCGAACCCATTACATATTTTTATCCGCGGTTTATCGCTCTTAAAACACCGGTTTTAACTTTATGCGTATCGTTGCTTATCCTCGTCACGTATCTCAAACTCGATTTCATTGCTGATCAAACATTTATCGTACAAGTTTGTAAAGTGGCTGAAATCTGAAATCCCCTCGTTGCTTACACTCGCAAAGAGAGATCCCATCTAAACACGACGGGCACATTGATGTTCACGTATACACGCGCACACCCAAATACTTTTCCTTTTCATAGTGGTGGTTTTAGTACCGTAGGGAGAAATTACCGCAAGGGCAAAACAACCGGAATCATAAAACGCGATGTTAGGACCGCCAAGTTCGCACTGTTAAGCAAATTCATAGCCTCAACGAGGAAATGTTCGTTCGAACGTACATTTCTGTTTGAAGAAGGAAAAAAAAAAAGAAATATAGGACGCGTAAAATTATTTCAGCTTAATGATTTTACGACAACTGTCAAGAGATATTTTTTTGTATAAACGCGAGTATTCAATTTACTTATCTAAATACTCAGGCGCTCTCTCTTTTATAACACCTGGAATTATTTCCATTCGCGATATCGATTCCGTCTTGCTTCTCTCTAACATAAATTGAATTTGTTATCGAAAATCATCGAGAGGAAAGAAAATATGCGTTCTCGTCTCCTCTGTCGATCGAAAGAAAAACTTCCGCGCGAAGTTTCGCGGAAATGATTCTAATTGACTTGGCGGACACGACGGGGAAAGAAAAGTATGGTATTCCTCGTGATTACATAAGATATACCACTACGGTCGGCGTTCCTTTGATCAATCGGGTGTTCGAGTCGGCGGAAAACGTGACGTAAGATTTGCCGGACCAGCCGTGCGAACCATCCACCCCGACGAAACTATCAACCCCAAAGTTCGTGTGGCCAGGACGGATTGGACGATGCGTTTGAAGTCTCTCGAGAAGGAAGCTCCTTATCATCATGCCGGTCGTATAACTGCAGGACGAGTCCGGACGTATATATCTTGCGAAACTGAGTGTTTCCACACGGCCGACTTCGAAACATTTCAATTACTTATGCTGCACCAATCCTCGTGCGAGCGAGCGAGCGCGCGCGCGCGCGTGGTTTCCTTCCATCTTCCCGTTTCTCTCCATTAGGCGAGTGACTTAGCCGGAGCGACGGCGGCGGCAGGCAGCGAGCCTTTCGCAGTTCGTCTTCGTAGTAGTACGGGTTATCTTAGAATCTTCGAGCGACTTCGATATAGACGAGAAACGTTTGAGTTACCGCTTGACGAACCTTCGCGGTCTCTTGAATCTGCGAGAGATTAAGCGCCGTTGAACGTAAACCCGGTGTTGGTCGCGATATTAGTCGCGATGTTAGTCGCGGGGAAACTCGCGCAAACAGATGTTAATTCTCAAGCTATTTAACTCTTTGATTATAAAATCTCAGTGACTGTTTTGTAGTTTGTTTTAATTTTGTTGCGTTGTGTGAATAAAGACATTATTATTTAATCGTTTCTTTTTTCTCTTTTAGTTTTGACAATTGTTCGCAAACGTGCGAAGGGTTTTTTCAAATGATTTTTTGTCTCTCTTCCGCCTTTGACGATGCACTTGTTGCACAGAGAAGAATACCATTCGCGAATATCAGCACGCGATATTATCCGAAACGTGTTGAGAGTGGTTTTCGGAGCGGTCATCTCTCGCTTGGTTGCGCCTGCTGGAGATAAAGTTTTATATCACTGTCAGCTGCGAAGTGCACTGGCACTGTTTGCTCTCTGGCAAGCGGTTTAACCGCCGGAGCTGTATCGCCCTGTAAAACTCTCCCCTTTTCGCGATTTTCCGTGTTCGCTCTCTTTTCCGCCCCAAGTGTTCTCCACGATAAAGCGTGATCCTGTCGATCCGATCGTGAGCCGTTTCTCTCACAGAATCTCCTCTTGTGAAAGCCCGGACACTTTCAGGCGCGTCCGCTCGTTCAAAAGTCACACACAGCTTCAGAGATAATCTCTTTCGCTCGCGTGAGTTTCTACAGAAATCAGTACATAGCCATTATGCGCCAGTGTAGCGCGCTCTTATCTCACCGCTTTGAGAATTATCCCGTATTCATGTGTATCGAGATTAGTGCATATATTCATACTCTTTCAGCTTATTGTGAATAACAATTTTGAAATGTATCTTATCAATGTATTGTTGTGTTTCGCAAATCGCAATATTCTCTCGTCGAAATTTCGAAGTTTCTCTCTTTTAATCATGCGGATTGCGTACGTATACGTGGGACGTGTATTCAAGTATCCGAAACGATTCATAAATAAACAGTAATAACAAATCCAAGAAGAGCAAATGTTAAACGCTGGCTCGTTATCGCGTTTGTGCAATATCTCGCCAAAGTAAAGACATTTATGCCATCGATGACTTTATTGTTGCTCAAACATTTCTTTCCACCAAGCCAGTTTTACGTAATATATAAATAAATACTTTATATATATATATATATATATATATACTTATAAGTACGTAAGTTATATATATATATATATATATATATATAAAAGCAGGTTTATTTCATTTTATATTATTTGCTCGGAAAAAAGTCTAGCTTTGGACGCACAGCTTCATCTTTTCTTCGCATCTGCTCGCCACGAAAAATAAAAAGGGACGGTTTTATTTCGCCGCCGCCAGTCTCTGTTTCCATACGGGCTTCATTCGCTCGCCTTTTGTCCATACTGCGAGCATTCGCGCTAAAACGGAACGCCGAAATGAATGGTCGGGGAATTATTCACTTTGCGAATCTCAGTGAGTAGTCGGAGAGAGAGTGAAACCGAGATAAGATACGACTTCATTTCCGCATCGCGGCTACACTATGCTCCGCGAGCGTCGTTCATTTCCTACGTCCACGTCAGGGAATAACTATAGGTACGAAGTCAACGTATCGAAGTTAATCTTTCAGCATCTCGGGAAGAGACGCAAGTTTCCATCTCCATTTAAGCGTGTTATTAAGTATTATAAATTGCCGCGTACGTGACGCGAGCTGAAATATCCATCATCAAGCTTGTCATTCGAACGCTTAAAACTTTCCAAGCGATAATTTAAAGAAATTAGATACACATCGCTTTATCGTGGAAAATTTCACGGGACAGTTTTATATTTTGTCAAACAAGACAGATATCAGTCTTGTTCGTGCGACGCATACGACACGACATTGCGGAAGTTTCGTAAATTGGTTGCTTTGCCGGAACAAGAGGGACGGTAACACAAGCGATGAATTTTACGACAGGATACGTTGCATGTCCAAGGGCAAATCTAACCGAATTTATTCAAATCCCTATCGTTTCACCCTTCTAGCCGTAAGATGGCAGCTATAAGTCACATTCGTGGATGGCCTTTATGAATAATGCAACGTAGAGAAAAACTTTTTCCGTAGATCGTATAATATGGCGCAATGTATAAGAAGTAAGTTGTGTATATTTTTCCGAGGTTTCAAGAGGTCACGATTGCAGATGGAAACAGCAAGGACGGACAACAAAAGTTGTGTCCACCGTTTTCTTCAATTCTATTTTAAACCGTTTGAGTAGCCGCAACCAGCGTGATTGCGATTCTTTTGTAAGTTTTAATTACGGCAAAATATGTGAACGAGCGCTTTTGTAAGTACTCTATTTTCCGTCGCAACTAATAAACTGTTAAAATCTAATTGAGCTTTAATAAGTTGCTGCTTGTTTTATTTGAACAAAATAAATAAATAAAAAATACATTATGTAATTCTACTTTTTTTGTTTGTCTTTGGTTAAAAAAAAAAAAAAAAAAAAAAAAAAAAAAAAAAAAACGACAAGCGCTTGTTGAAGGAATTGTTTGATGTAAAACCGGAAAGTGCGATCCTTGACATTTTTCACACGTCGTCATTGTGCGGCGACCGTCTATGTGGAGTTTTCTGTTAATTATAGGCTTCGCAAAGCGTCGAGATATGGAACGGTTCCGGCAGCGTCATTGCCGAACGGGTGAGTAGAGCAAACAGGTCATCGGGTAAAATGGAACGCGAAGGGAGAGAAGATTCGCCCATTGGCTGCTGCTTACTGCCCCACAGTTGACACAGTTTCCCAACGGCGCGGCGCAGCCCGAGGATCGATACTGTCACGACCACATCGCGACTCTGCCTAAGAAGATCATCGTCGTGTAGTAAGCGTTACATGACGCCCGACACAACGTTTCAATCTTAATGATCCATTCTCGATGTACGGTCGTGCGGTGCGCCACGTACGATACAATTGATGTTTAGGCTCCGCCGTTAATGCGACGTTAATATCGATCGTCGATGGCCAGCGAGCCGGACTGTTCTCTCGAACTGTTTCGACACGACAAAGATCTACGCGCTTGTTACAACGCGATCGATCGAGGAGATCGCCGCCGGGCCGGACCGCGTCGAGAATAATCGATTCGAGCGAAAGATGGCTGAGCTTCTGAAAACGTTTCGTGTTCCGTTTTCGCTGAAATTTGATGTACACGGATATTTCGTGGATCAAGAAAACGAATCCAAAAAGATTGATGAGTTTTTCCCCCCTTTTCGATTTACTTTCTCTTGACGAGACTACAAATATTTTATCTCTTTCATAAATACAACGATATACAATATCTTATCTCTCACAAAAATATATTTTTTCATTTTCACGAGTAGAGCGAGAAAATAATCATGCAAGTGGCGATTCTAATTTGTTTGAAATTCATATATTTATTGAGAGAGAGAGTAAGAGTTAAGATATGTGCACGCGGGAGTAAATTCCGTTGTTTATATAGCGAAAGGTAAGATAGATTGGGATGTCAACGTGAAACCACGGAAGCTTAATGCCACGGGTTTACCACGCGAAGGAGGAAACTGCAGTCGTGCCGCAAAAGAATAAGAGAGTAGACGAGAGAGGAACCAACTCACCGATACTCCGATCCCTCGCTCAGCTGTCTGACCGTAATGGGAAATTCGCTGGGTCCGTGCGCTTTCAGAAGTTCCTGCAATCGCACGAGCCCCTCGTTGTTCTCGTAGATAATGGTGAAACTCTTCCAGCCCCAGGCCTTCACCAGATCGACGTACGCCTGAAACATGGGTAATCAATCACAAGCTGTTATTATTACAGTCGGGTTAACAGCTGCCGTAACACGCTTTTACGTCTCTACGGGATGTAATTTAACTCTCGGGTTGTCTGCGTCGATCGCGATAATATGCCATCACGCAAAGGCAACAAGTACGATGAATTAATATCTTTCGCCGAAGTCAGTAATAATACATGTAATTCAATATATATTATTTATATAAAACTCTTTGTCTATCTATATAGTTGAACACGACCAAGAGATACAAATAGAGATATATTATATCGCATACTATTTTTTAATGAAATGAAAATATTACGAAGCGAAAGAACATAAAAAAAAAGTTATGGTTAATAGTATTTTGTTACGTGATTAAAATCTTTGATTTGAAACATATTTTTTTTTTATTCGGTATTTTTTTATCCGACACAATCTCGATAAATATTAACAGAAATTTTTAAAAAAGATTGAAACATATCGAATATTGTTTTATATTATCTGTAAGGAATTTGTAATCCGTACTTTTTGCGCGCTATGTACGTATTATAATAATATTGTAATACGTGTAACCCGAAGTTTTATGCAACGGTTATCGATTTATTTATTAAATGCATTCATGCAAAGTAACGATGCATGTTTACACAGTGGCAGTGTAAAAAAACATGTAGAAAAACATCGACGAGCAATAACCGTTATGATCCAGGCAGTAATAAATTGCGTATCGGAACACGAAATATTGCGGACACCATGGATGCAAGAAGTGTTCGTGCATCGTGACATGTACATTTATGTGTGTTGTATTTCGAATTCGGTTAGAAGGGTTGAATTATAATGTGTTGCCGGATAAAATGTCGTCGATGTCGGCCATAAATCGGAACCGACTCGAACTCCATGGCTTCCCATTATTGCGCGCGGACCTCGTAAAATATCACATTTGTCTCTATAGCCGGGTGCTGTCATTTTCGACGCTCTTCCTACATTCTTTTCCCGCTGCAAAGCATTCTCGTTATATCGGAATAATAAGAGCTTCTTCCTTGCTTAGCGCTCCAGTTTGTAAAATGGCAAAATAAATACGCGACGGTACTATGAACTAAAGCTGAGCTTTGAAAATAAACCTTTTCTGCCGCGTACTTCCTGTTACGCGCGCGGTATCAATGCAACAGAGATTCCTGCGAGAGTAGCTTGTAAGAGACTGCAACTTGTTTTGCTGTGCCGCGCTCCTCTATAGCCCGGGCTTTTAACTGGGAAAACAAGTATCGCACAGTCGCGACACTCTCCAATGGCCGAATCGAAGACGAGGAGATGCTTTCGCGAGAACTCACTTTGTCGGTAACGTACACTTCGCGCAATCGTGTGCTTTTCCCGATAATCCGAATTCGCTTTGAAAGAGTGCAAATGTATATTTTTCAACAGGGGACTTCCGCCATGGTTCGCCACGCCGGACTCTCTCTCTCTCTCTCTCTTTTTCTTCCTTTTTACCTTGTTCTTCTCCCGCAAACCCGCAAACTTACGATTCTCCAGATTTTATATTAGACGCCGTTTCGAGATTTCACTTCCTTCGTCGTGCGAAGTAACCGACCGCCGCCCAAGTTGCATAACGATCTTCCGGAATAATCTCGACATTTAGGATTATACCGCATAATGTCACGTACTACTACTAGAATACTGCGTTAACCCTTAACTTCCACCTCCGCTGCGGATAAATCACTTTGCAAAATTTGAATTCCGCACCACCGGGATCCTGCTGGTTTATCCTATTATGTGTATATAAAATATGCCTCTGGTCTGGATTTTCTCTCACTTGAAGACAAAAATGCGCTTGTTATGTGTGTATCCAATATATATGTATATATAGTAACTGACTTTTACATCTCTCCTTCATTTGAAGGCGTACGTATCAAGATGCAAAATTACTTTGAAAGTGGTGCAAGTCTAACTTGGAGAACACACTTAAGTAGGATGCGAGTGGAAATTGCTACGATGTATGTGTGTGTCTACTTTAACGCAAGATATTCAAAACTTATCTTATTACACTTCTGAGATCAACTCATCTATGAAATGTATTACAAACGCTGCGCGCGTGCAGGATTTGCGATTTTGCAGATAGCGCTTTTACAACACACAAACCGAAACGTGTTATTCATATCCGTTGCTCGTTACTTTGCCCGCCGCACAAATCTGCACAAAAAATCAACAACAATGCAAACTTCAACGATGCCGGTGTGTACAATTTTCGATCATTTTTTTTTTTTTACATGTTAAAATGGGTGACGCCAGGCCGGGGGTTGTCGACCCCGTTACTTGTCCATTTGTGATGCTAACAGGTTCGAATTGTCACAGGAAGCGCAGACAGCGGCCGCTGGCGAATAGCCAGATCGCGTTCATTAATAATACGGTGATTATATACAGTTGGTTTTTGTCGAAGCGAGAATTTACTGAATTTGGCAAGTTATATTCTTAATCGTCTAACAGGTCAGCGGTATAAAAGTGCTTGGCAGCAAATTTGCTGACAATGACGAAATATACGTGCTTTTCAATAAATTGCATTCTGCAATTATTATACACATGTTGAGTATATTATGATTAGAGCGAATGGATGAGCGGACAACTATTGAATTCTCAAATTTCGACTTTACAACTGTCTTTTCAAGCGTAAATTAAACCACGCCGAGCGTTATCGAATATAACAACAGTGTTTGTTTAATTTTAATAGCGCAATACGATACAGTGCCGCATGTATAGTATAGCCGTCTAAAATGTATGCTAATGCCGCGTTTACATTGCTGCCCCTAAGCGCCAACAAAAGCAAGTTTGCGCGCAGACAACAACGAGAGCCATTGTACCTATTATTTTTTCCGCACAATTTGTAATTGTGTTAAGAGTAATTATAAATTTTAAACGTGTAGTAATTATAAATTTTAAATCTTTTGTATTAAGACTCTTTCTCTTTTTTTTAAATATTTTTTAATTTGTAAATATGAACATATTTAACCGCATTATTGTAAAATTAAATCTTAAACAATTTAAAAGCCGCGTTATTAAAATAGGTATACATAATTCACATTTTATTTACTTGTTTATGGCTGCGGAAAACATAACGGTTACTATTTATAATAATACAAAGTTTATACACACACACATGTGCAGAAACATACGAAATTGCATTATATAAATTAATACAACAAACTTCCAATAAATTATGTAGAGTTGTTCAGAATTTTGAGCAGTGTTCTTCAAATATTTGCCGCTTGTGTGTGTGTGTGTGTGTGTATATGTGTATAGTGTAAAATTATTACCAGATTAACAAAGCCGATATAATTTACGACAACGAGTCTAATTTCGATAACAATTTGCCGCTTCGTTCAGTTTCAGAGAGAGAATAAATCGATCGACTTTGGAAGGTGTCGGACAATGGTGTATACTCGTGCATCTTCCGTAATCGCAGAACTCCGTGAATCTGATCGCGACTATATGCCTGGCGTGTTCGTCGCGTATTTGCACGTGCCGAACGACAACCCCGATTGGTATCCTACAAATAATTCCACCGACCGCTGCCAGAATCTCGTTCGCTCCGTTCGTTGTGTTTTGCGCATAGTAATGTGTATCGCGGTACATTCTGGATCGATGTGTAAATTACACCCGTGTAGCGCATGACGTAAAATGCAGCCGGCGATGCTTGTAAAATATCTATAAGTGAGATTCGTGGCGAGGTTTGCGTGGCAATAATTTAGTTCGCTTTCGATAATCGACAACTGCGATCGAAATCCTGGGCTTTTGTTTGAATCCAGACGGACGTTTTTCGCGAGTGTGTTATAACAATTTTCATGAATTATAAAAAAAAAAATTCATTTTAATTATTCAAAAGTTCACGAGTTCACGACCTTCTTTTTTGTCTTGACACGTACGATAATTGTAGATCCAATTGTAGATAACAAAAGATCGCAAAATATGCGATCTTTCTTCCGGCGGAACTACTGTTTTTGCTCATAATTTCCAACTAAATCAAACTCCCAGCTGTTGTGCAATCGAGTCTATCAATCTTTCACCGAGGTCGCGTTTTTCGAATCATTTTTCATCCTGCGGAAAATTCGATTCTCGTGGAAATGCTGCGACAAAAGTTTCTGTAAGCGATCAAAAGATATTTTGAGGTAGAGGTGTAGCGTGAGCGAAATTACGTATTCACGAGATGCGACGCGGTCGTGTAAGAGCACGCGGACTCTGTGGCCGATGCAAATTGGGCGGAAATATTTCAACGGTGAAATATTTAAGTCGTCTTACGCCGCTGCCGGGTGGTGAGTCTTATCATAGTATCGGAACTCGCGCGTGACGCGAGATTTATCACGCCAATTATGGTGCCATTTCGAGCACGTGTTTGCAGCCAAACACGTTCCACGACGGTGAACAAGTACTGTACTAGTTGTGATCCATATCTCTTCGCACGTCTTACATTCTCTGGTTTCAAGTAAAAATAAATTCTTTTTCCAACGTACATCGAAGCATACATCTGTACAACAAAACAATAAAAATATATTTTGTTTGTAAAATAATGACGTTACAAATATGTTAAAAAATAAAATGTTAAAGTTTGTAAGTACAGGAAGATTTAATAACAAAAACTTTAGATCAGGTTTTAATTTCGAGAAATATAGATGAGAGTGTCTCTCGAATTCTTGCTTAATTATCAGTGGCTCTTGACTGAATTCAATTCACTTTTAGCAATATCTCGAACGATAATATCGAGAACGAAAAAGAAATTCCACTTTACAACAACGACCTCAGTCGTTTCCGTGGCACAATTTCATCTCCGAACTCATTAAAAAAAAAAAAAAATCAGACTCCGTTACATGCATTGGCCGTGAATCCAGCGCATCCTGCATGCGCATATAAGATGCGGATGCATATGCTTTTATCTTGTCGCGCACGGATATGTCCACGGTCGATGCTGCACTGCTTTCCATAACGAACGCCTCGGCGCGACATGTCTGCGAGTTCGCCAGATGCAT